CCCCCTCCCTGCCCCGGGCAGCCGTGTCCTGGGGTGGCCGCGGGGCAGTAGGCTCCTGCCCCCTTGACTGGCCACTCTGGGGGGCTGTGAGCTGACCCAGGACGCCTGGGCTAGGGCTAGGATGCCGGGGTCACCGTGGGGGCCGTGAGGCTGCCCGGGCGCAGGCCGGCGAGCTCCGCTGTGAGCGCCATGTGGGGCTTCTGGCCTCAGGTCGGGGTTAGGCCGGTGAGGATGTCACTGGTCTTCTTTTTTCCTTTATTTTTAAAAACAGATTTATTCATGCACACAAGAGCTGGGGCACAGGCCAGAGGTGTGGGGTGAGAGGACTCCCCAGAGGCAGTGGGGAGCAGAACAGGCGGACTGACTGAAGACACTGCTCAGGGGAGCAGCAGGGGACAGGAGAGTCTGCCGCGCCCTGGGGGTCACTCCCTGGCCGGCCGCACTCCCGCTGCAGAGGCTGCGGTGGCTTCATAGCGCTGAGACTCAGCCCTGCACCCCGGGAGGCCAGGATGTCACCCCTTCCCCCAGACCCTGATTCTGTGCAGGGCCCTGGGGCGCCAGCCTCACACCTGAACTCTGACCCTCCACTCCCGTGCTCTGTGGGGCCCCGGCCCAGGCTTTCTCCTCCTGCGGCTCACCTGGGTCCTCTGGGCAGATTTTGGGCATTCTGGGAGAGTTGGGGTGCAGCCTGGAAACAGCCCAGCTGGCGAGGTTGGGGGGTGTTGGACAGGGCTCCTGGCTGGAAGTCCTCACGCTGGGGTCGGGCTGGGACACCTGCCAGGAGGGGGAGCCAGAGCCCGCGGTGGGGGTTTCGGGCTTTCATGCTCTCTCGGGGAAGCGCTGCGTGGCCAGGAGGGGGAGGGCGCTTTGGGAGGCAGGCCGGTGACGGCACCCCCAGCCCCCCATGAGCCCCCACTCTCTCAGGGCTCTCTCTGGCGTTCTCTCGCAGCCTTGCCTCTCCTGTAGCCCTCGTCCTCCTGTAGCCGCCCTTCTAGCGCTGCCCTGTGGGCTCAGGTGTGCAAAGGCACGAGTTGACATGCACACCAGGGGTCCCCCATCAGGCCCCGCCCGCCTGCCCGCCTCCTGCATTAGCACGGGCCGGCTCACGAGTCTGCAGGGCACAGGTGGCTTCCCGCACTGAGCAGCCGAGGGCGAGTTCCTGCCGGGCCCAGGGCCTGGGTAGAGGGGCTGCAGCCACCGGGGATGGGGGTGCTGGACCAGCCTCACGCTCTGGACTCCCTCCGGTCCAGGGGGCCACTCGCTGCCCGGCTTCCCCAGCTGCCCCCTGGTGCTCGGCCCAGCATCCCAAAGAGAAGACCTCCCGGGCCCAGCAGCCTTCACGGGCTGACCCCTGGGCTCGGTGGCGGGTGTGGGCACCCATGTCCACCACCCTGCACCCTCCCAAACGCAGGGCTCCCGGGGCTCAGGGGCAGGCCTGGGGCGGAGTGAGGCAGGGGCGCGGAGCACCCATGGGGGAAGCCGGGAGCTGGGGGTAGGGACGGAAGGCAGCTAGATGTTGGCCCTCAAGTCAGAGCCCACAGAGGAGGAAAGTGGACACCGCCTGGGGGCTCCGCGGCCCCTGGGCCTCCTCCCAGTCCTCCAGGTGGGACTGGGGGGACCAGCTACACTCCAGCCTCTCATGGGGCCCGGGGGCTGCACTATGCTCGGGGGTGACTCGGTGCTGTCTGGCAGCCTCCATCCTGCCATCCGGCTCAACACTGGAAGCAACAGATGCCCCCAGCAGTGGGACGGCTTGTGGGTGCACAAGGGGGGCACCCCGACCTCTGGATGCTCTGAAAGAGGCAGGGCAGGGCTGGGAGTGTGGAGGAAGCACGGGGACCCCAGGGCTTCGGGGTGCCGAAGCTGCACGGCCTGACCACGGCAGTGGGTGGGGACACGTCATCAGCTCTTGTCCACACGGCAGACTCCCGGGGTCAGGCACCCCACGGCCCAAGCACGCTCCTGGGCGCCATGCACTGTGGGGGCACATGGGGAGTCTTACTTCCGCGCCCTCCTCCTGTGCCCTGTGTTGCTCCAAAAATAGTCTATTTTTAAAAAGAAAAAACACTTGGAAAAATAGTCCTTTTCACAGTGAGTGAACGTGGAGCGTGGAAAGGCCTTGGGGGCTGGTGTGAGCCTCTGGAACCCCCCTCCCTGCCTTTGGGGGCCTCCCACACCCCAACATGCTTGAACATCCCTACCCTACCCCATACGTCCCGCATACCTGCACCCCACCCCACCCCACAGATGCACACCCTCATCCCTGCCGCCTGGGGGTGCGTGCGGTGGGCACACCTAAGTGGCGTCTCCCGTGCCTGTTGGGGTCCCCACTCGGTGGGGGTGCAAGGGTCACGTGAAGGTCAAGTTCGCACCTAGTGGGCCTGTGCTCCCCCCCCTCCCCCCCCAGGACTGCTCCCTGTGGTTCTCAGCCTGGACCCGGGCCTCCCAGCGCCGGCCCCACCGCCCTCGTCCTCCAGTGGACCTGCACGGGCGCCGGGCCGGCCCCACCCCGAGGTGGTTTCATGGCCAGAAGTACGAGTCTCTGTCGTCAGAGCTGTCCCGCCGGTGCCTCCCCTCCGCCCCCGGATCAAGCGTTGAGTCCTCCATGAAGGACGTGGGCCCGGGGGCCGGGGTGTCTGTCCGCGCGCGAGGTCAAAGCCGAACAGCACCCGCCAGGCCCCGACCCTCCGCCCGCTGCTGGGCCTCCCTGGGGCCGCGTCATGCTGACCTCCCCGCCAGCCACTGCGAGCGTGGCGTGTGCCCTCCGGCCCTGGAGGACAGAGACTCAGCCCGGTCTCTCCCCCTCCCTGCCTGCTCAGCTCTCACGGTCTCCTGCGGAGCCCACAGTTGGCGCCGCGCCGTGGAAAGCCGGGGGCTTCCTGCTCAGCCAGGCGGCGCCTCTGGGTCTGTACGTTTTTATGCGTTTCACTCACGACTCCTTTTCCCAACAGCACAGGTGTCTTTAAATCACCGGCTGATTCTTCCCTCGCCTTCCCAGTGCTCAGGAAAATCTCTCCCCGCAGCTTGCCACGTAAGCCCACCCCCTGGGTTACGTAGCACTAACATATACGTGTGTGTGCATCATCTGTGCGCGCTCTGCCCGTTCTATTTGTGTGGCTTTCCTGCCTTCTGAAATGCCAGGGTCACACTCTGGGAAGTGTGTCAGTAGGTGATGCAGCTGCACAGCATCACAGAGCACGCACACGACCCGTCCCCACCCAGGCTGCACTCGGGGACCACGGTCAGCTCTGTGGCCACTGGTGGCCGAGACTGTTGCGTGGTGTGTGGCTGTCCGCAAGGAGAGCTGTATGGACGGCATATGGGGGTGCGGTCTCCCCCCCACTCCCATACATGCTGTCTCCCTGGTTCCCCCTCCCCCTGTGTGGGGTGCCCAAGGCATCATCTTTCTTGTGTCAGGCCCTTGTTTTGGCCACGCGCACCCTGCAGTAGCGTCCTGAGAAGGGCTGCCTGGAAGCTTGTTCTGCGTGGCTTGGTGCTTGGTGGACACACGGGTCGTGCACAGAACTGGAGCGTGAAGGTCACCTTTGCTCACGATGGGGGCAGCCCCTCACCCTCAGGTCTCCGCGTCGCTCTGGGGCAGCTCAGTGTCATTCCTGTTCCCCACTGTTTGCAGCGGGCTCTACTTTACTGGGAGTGTGTGGGGTCTCGGCTCCTTGAGCTCTGAATTTGCACCAAACCACGTCTGGGGCGGAGCCTCCTCGTGCGGCGCCCGCGAGCCCTTCCTCTGGACGCCCCGCGCCCTTCAGTCGGGCCGGGTTCCTGTTTTACATCTGTGGTAATTTTCCTTCGAGCTCTCCGGAACGCCTCATGTACAGGTTTGGGGCCGTTCTGGATGACTCATGGAAGATTCTAATTTTCTTCTCACTATTCCTCACTACTTTGCCCACCTCTTCTTTTTGTTCTAGTTTCTGAAAGATTCTTGAATTCATCTTCCAACTCATTTACCAGGGTTTTAATTTTAGCCGCCGCACTTCCAATCTCCAGCGGCTCTTTCCTCCGCTCCCCTCTCGCTGCGTTTCCCTCTCATTTTGTGGGCGTGGCCTCGTCTCGCCGAGGATTTCTCTTCTGGCTTCTCCATGGCCGGGCATTTCATGTGCCCTCCCCCCACCTCCCTGCCAGCGTCCCCGGTTTTCATTTGCTTGTTTGGGTCTCTCTTCCCTGCTGGAGGCTGTCCCTGGGTGTCTGAGGCCTCGGCTGTTCCTTGGTCAGGCTGCGGCGGGGCCCGCGCTGAGGGCCTGGCCGGCCGCCCGTGCCCTGGCCAGCCGCGAGGTGGGCAGGTCTCGGGTCCGCACCCCAGCCAGCCATGGGGTGGCTGGTCCCCCGGCCCCGGGGGGGTTCTGTCTCCCCAGCGCGCTCCCAGGGAGAAGCCGCTGTCCCAGCCCTTGCTGCTGTGTCCTCAGCGCTCTGGCTTTGACCTGCTCTTCCTCCGTCCTCCCCACCCAAGGGCGGCGGGGGTAGGGGAGCTGCTTCGCTCTGGTGCTGCTTGACTTGGGCTGTCGAACCACACCCCACAGGCTGGGGGGCTTTCCCGGCAAAACTGCCACTGTCGGTCCCACGCACCGCGGCGCCCCCGGCAAGCTCGCCCACACCGTCCTCGCGCGCCTCTGGCAGCGGGGAGCTGGCCACTTGCAAGGCGGCCCCTTCGGCAGGGTTTGCCGTCGGATCTGGGCCCCGCGACCCCTGGCTGGCCGCTCGCAGGGGCGTCCTCCCTGTGCCCCACCTCGTCTCCTCCGGCCCCATGTCGACTCCCAGGCTTCCAGCCCCGTCCTCCTGAGACGGCCCGCCCCGCCCAGGGGAGCAGGACGGAAGTGGCCTCAGATCCAACCAGCAGGGACTCCGATAGCGAGCGTGCGCCCCAGCGTGTGGCTCCCCAACCCCGAGCGCCAGGAACAGCGCTGCCCAAGGCTGACTGTCCTGGGTGGGGCGGGGTCGGGGCCGTGGCCCCCGCTGGAGCTGACCCGTCTCCACTGTCTCCGCAGGGACCTACCAGGGCCAGTGGGCCGGCGGCATGCGCCAGGGCTACGGGGTGCGGCAGAGCGTCCCCTACGGCATGGCGGCCGTCATCCGCTCGCCCCTGAGGACGTCCATCAACTCGCTGCGCAGCGAGCACACCAACGGGGCCGCCCTGCACCCCGACGCCTCCCCGGCGGTGGCCGGCAGCCCGGCCGTGTCCCGGGGCGGCTTCGTGCTCGTGGCGCACAGCGACTCCGAGATCCTCAAGAGCAAGAAGAAGGGGCTGTTCCGGCGCTCGCTGCTCAGCGGGCTGCGGCTGCGCAAGTCCGAGTCCAAGAGCAGCCTGGCCAGCCAGCGCAGCAAGCAGAGCTCCTTCCGCAGCGAGGCGGGCATGAGCACCCTCAGCTCCGCGGCCAGCGACGTGCACTCCACCGCCAGCCTGGGCGAGGCCGAGGCCGAGCTGTCGGCCATCGAGGACGACATCGACGCCACCACCACCGAGACCTACGTGGGCGAGTGGAAGAACGACAAGCGGGCGGGCGTGGGCGTGAGCCAGCGCTCCGACGGGCTCAAGTACCAGGGCGAGTGGGCGGGCAACCGGCGGCACGGCTACGGCTGCATGACCTTCCCCGACGGCACCAAGGAGGAAGGCAAGTACAAGCAGAACGCGCTCGTGAGCGGCAAGCGCAAGAACCTCATCCCGCTGCGGGCCAGCAAGATCCGCGAGAAGGTGGACCGGGCCGTGGAGGCCGCCGAGCGGGCCGCCACCATCGCCAAGCAGAAGGCGGAGATCGCAGCCTCCAGGTAGGGGCGGGGGAGGGGTGGGGGGCCGGCCCCGGGACCCCAGGGGTTCCTCCAGGCGCTCAGCCGGCGGTGAGGCCGGAGCGCGGCTCCCACAGCTGCAGGCTGGTGGCGGACGGGGAGGCTGCGAGGGGTCAGCCGCCGGCCCTCGTGGGGTGGGAGCTGCGCTGCGGGGCCCGTGGCCACCCCTCGCCGGGTGGTGGCTCAGTGGCCACCTCGTCTCACGGTGCTGGGTGGCTGGACAGGGCAGGGAGGGCGGTGCGGGCACCAGCGCCTCAGCCCCACTGGCTCCCTTCAGGCCTGGAGTCCAGTGGCGGCAGCCCCAGGGATGTTGGGCCGAGGCCACAAGACCCGGTCGCCCGGCCCCGGGTCAGCTTTTCCCCGGGCAGAAGTCGCTTCCGCTTCTTGGGGCAGGAAGTCTCGCAGGAGCAGGGCGGCTGCTGCTGGCCCCCACAGCCTGCACCCCGCAGGTTCGGCCCAGCGTCCCCGCGCCGGGCTCAGGCACCCTCGGGGGGCGTCAGCTCTGGTGTGGCCTGGGCGGGCCCCCCAGCTCTGCAGAGGGTGGGCTTTGCCCTCCAGCCTGCCTCGCGGAGTTTTGGGAGATGGTGTCCACCGTGGCCAGCGCCGGGCCTGGGAGGTGCCACAGCGACGGGGTGAGGACAAGCCACGTGGGACCCGTGCACCCCAGACCCACGGGGCTCGGGTCTGTGTCGGGGCTCGAGGTGCAGGCCGACTGCAGTGGGGAGGTGTGGAAGGGCCGTGCCCAAAACCCCGTCCCCACCCCCACAGCCCCTGGGCCCACAGCCCGGAGCTTGGCCAACCGTCCTGGGGAGCAGGCACCAAGACACTTCAGGGTCCTGCCTGCAGGGGGCTGGGGGGTGTGGTCCTTGAGCCTCACGCCCCTGGTCTTGGGCCTGGTGCAGCTGCCGTCGGGGCCCGAGGCTCCTCCACATCTCCGGCGTGTCCAGGCGCTGCCCTTGAGCACCGGTCAGAGGCAATGGGACCGTCGCCCCCGCTGCTCGTCAGACAAGTGGCCAGGACCTCGGGCTCGGCCACAGGCAGCTGGCCCTGGGCAGGCTCGGGCTGCGTGGGAGGCAGCTCTCATCAGGAGAGCCCAGGCCGGGTACCCCAGGAAGCTGTGGCCTCTACAAGGCCCAGGAGCGACCCCCACAGCCCAGGGCTCTGCCCTGGGGCAGCACCAGCCTGGCCAGCGTGCTCGCTCCCGGCCTCTGCATGGCTTCGGGGGTGGGCAGTGGCGGCATGTGCCCAGTGGGGCGTGGGCACAAGGCACCTCCTTGGAGCAGGCAGAGCGGACACCCCCAAACTGCTCTATTTCTGGGGGTGATGGCTCAGACAGGTAGTGGCAATTTGGGGGCTCTGCGTAGCTCAGAAATGGTCACTGCCCAGCCTGGCCGAGGGGGCCACGGAGCATGGGGTGTCGGCCAACAGCAGCAGCCCATCGCGGGTCTCATGAGACTCACTGCGCCCCCGAGGTGAGCATGAGGGGCGGCCGCTGTGAACCCCTGAAGTGGGCCTGGCTGCTCATCCCTCCCTCCCGGCGCCTTCCCGCCCCGCGGCCACCCCGTGAGTGGGGTCCCAGCCCCATCGAGCCCTAGAGGACAGCAGTGCCAGGGCCGGGTCCTGATGGCCCTTGAGACAGCGGCACGAGCACATCCAGCCCCTGGGCGCCCAGGATGCGCAGGCCTGGCGGTGCCCGGAGGCCCCCGCGGCGGGGCTGGCAGCGGGACGGCAGCCCCGGCTCAGGCTCCGCGCTCGCGGCTACTTGGGGCCCGGTTCTCTGCTATTCCTGGTGCGCGGGGGCCCGGGGTGCGGGAGGAGGGGGCACGGGTCTAAACATAGACAGCGGGGGGAGGCGGCGGCAAGGAGGGCGCGCGCCACTGGAAGTCGACTCCGAGTCCTTCCTCTGAAGCGGCACCTTGGGGGCTGCCATGGCAACCGGTGAACCCCACCCCACCCCCACAAACCAGAGAGGGACAGGCCAGCCGCCCAGAGGTTTGTCTGCAGTGGGGGATCCGCAGCCCGGAGTCGGCCGGCGCTGACCAGTCCACAGGGGAAGCCCCTCACCCCCGCGCCCACACGGAGACAGATCCCGCCCCTGCCGCGCCCGGGGACCCCTGGCGCGGCGCGGGGCGGGGAAGGGCAGCAGCCCCGTGTCCGGCGGCCGGGCCCGGCTCCGCGCATTTGGCACACGCCGCCTTCAAAGGAGCGGGAAGCCGCTGGCCAGCTCAGGGCCGGCGTCGGGAGGAGGCCCGGGGCCGGCCCGCCCCAGCAGGGGACCTCACAGGCACCCGCGGCCCGGCCCCGGGGCGTCCCCAGACCGTGTGCCGCCTGCGCGTGAGGAGAACCCACCGGGGACGGCGCTTCCCTGTGGGGCGCAGGGCAGCGGCGCGCTCCACCCCCGGGAGTCCTCGCCGCTTTCGTGCACCGTTAGCTTCGGCCACCGCGGCCCCAGCGGAGGGCGATCAGCCCCTCTTCCGCGTCGCTGCCAACGCCCCCTGCCCCCCAGCAGGCAGACCACCGCCCTCCCCTGCCCCAGGGCCTCTGCGGGCCTGTCCAGGCCCAGATCTCATCGTGGTTCTGCCCAGTGGGGAGGGGGGGCCTGGACCCTGTGGGTGTCTGTCAGGGCTGCGGGGGAGCCAAGGCGGCGGAGCAGAGCTGAGGGGTGTCCTGTCTCGGCCCCGCCTTCCAGAGGCCCCGGGGCTCCCCGTTCCCAGGAGGGTGATTTTCTAGGGTTTTGTCAAAGCTGTAACTCAGGGAGGCCCCAGGGAAAGGAGCTGAGCGGCGCTGGCTGCGGAGAGCAGGGCGGGCTGGGGCTGGGCCGCAGCCTCTCCGGCCCTGGGCCCCCCACAGCCCTGGTCGCTCCCCGAAACAGCACAGCGCAGGGCAGAGCCGCACAGAGCAGGCAGACGGGGTGCAGGCCGCCCCCAGGCTGAAGAGCGAAAAGCTCCCTCTGCGCAGGGCTCAGCCCCGCACCCCGTCCCTGCAGCCACTGGTGCAGGGAGCCCAGGTGCCCCTGGCCCGAGGGTGGGCTCAGACGCGTCCTGGGGCAACATTTGTCCGGGAGCAGGTCCTGGAGGGACTGGGGCATCAGCCCCCCTAGCCGGGTGGATGGTGGCCCCAAACCTCACATGGGCCCCACGCAGGCCGCGGCCAGTGATGAGGGTCCCTACGAGACAAGGGGGAGGGACGCAGGCCCTGGGGAAGCCGCAGGGAGACGGGGCGGAGGCTGGGGTGTCAGTGTGGCCTGGCCCTGGACCCCAGGTGGGGGAGTGGACCCTCATTTCCAGCCCCATTGGTGGTCCCCTTGGCCTCTGGTCTCTTGGGAGGGGGCTCCCCTTCTTTTTCTTTGCTTCATGAGGGGAAAGGGGGGGCCGGTGGGGTTTGCTCTGGAGTGCTTTCTGCACCAGGTGTGCCGTCCACAGCATGCCTGCGTTAGAGTGAGTGGCAGCGGGCACTGGGTGCCCCTCATGCCTCCAAGGCACCCCCCGGGCCAGCCCCGGGTCTCTGCCTGTGTCCCTGGCACAGGGTCTGGCACTGTGGCAGCAGCACTCGTGGTGAAAGCCCAGGCCTCCATCTCTGGCCTCGCTGCCCAGCCTGCCACGTGGAGCTGGGCACACGTGGGTGCCGTGGCCAGGCCACACGTGGACCTCAGCCGTGCGTCTGACTTGGGTGGGGACAGGTACTCGGTGTTCAGTGGCTGTCGGTGGAGGGAGGTCCTGTGGGCCCGGAGCGGGAAAGCCCCACAGCCAGTGGCCCCGGGAAGCCGATGGCCTGGTGGGGACGGCCGAGTGCCGTCTGGCCTCTGCCCAGGGGGCCTTGTGGTCAGCGCATCCGCGTGACGGGCAGACGTCCTCCTGTTTGTGCTGAACGCAAACGCAAACGCAGGGCCAGGAGCCTGTGGGACCCGCGTCTCCTGCGGGGGGCACGGCCAGGGCCAGGCACCAGCTCTCACGTGGCCCCCCTCGCAGTGTCCAGCAGCCACGGCTCCTGGGGCCCTGCCTGTGTGTCCCGGCCTCCCTCGGGGAGGGGCTGCACAGGGGTTCACTCGAGGTGGGCGTGACTCAGTCGGCTGCGGAAAACACCTGACACTCATCCCTGGTGTTGCTCCCGCACCTGCACCCCTCCCTGCCCTTCTCCAGCTGGAAGCCTGGCCCCAGCCCCCACCTGTGAGATATCCCAGGACATGTTCTCTCAAAGGCGGCCCCCCATGTTACAGCTTCAGAGCCCACAAACCCGGCCCCCCCCACGCCCAACCAGTGGTCACCCCGGGGCCATTCCGGGGCTCGGGCCCATGTGTGCAAGGCACCCCTTGCAAGGCCCGGCCCATTGGGCCGAGTGCAGTGGGCAGGCAAGACCCCGTGTTTCTGTGACACCCCGGTTTTGCCGACCCCCAGGTTGGGGACCTCACGGTGGGTGGTGCCGCCACCCACTCCATGGGTGCTGGGGGGCAGGCCCTGCCGCAGGCCAGCGCAGAGACAGTGGTGGTGCGTCAGGCCCCAGCCCGGGCCTTGGCATTCGATGAGGGACAGGTGGAGGGGTGCCTGGTGGGGACCAGCCGTCCTTGGGTGCTGTGTCAGGGTCACTCGGGCTCTGGCAGGGACGTCACCCTGCGGAAGCTTCTGGGGCAGGTCACCCCTACGGGGAGCAGCCCTCGGCGCAGGCACAGGCCTGACACGGTGCGGCGCGGGGGTCCCCACGCCGACCCGTGCTGGGGCCCCTGCCCACACGCGGCGCTCCAGGGCAGGCTGAGGCCCCAAGAGGAGCCCACGCGCGAGCACAGGTGGGCGCAGGCTAGCTTGCCAGCGGCTGGGGTAGGGGAGGCCACTCCCGCAGGGCCCGGTCGCTGCCCCGGCCTGAGCGTGGAGGTCGCTGTGGCCAGGGCAGCCGGCAAGCCTCTCCCGCGAGCAACACGGCTCCCCTCCCTCCTGGGGCTGCTGCCCAGGCAACCTCTGGGCCCTGGGGCCTGGGCGTGGCCTCCCCACGCAGAAGACCTGCCCCCCATGACACGCCTGCGCCTCCTGGTGCCCGCGCTGTGCCTGTGACGACCCAGGGAGGGGCTCGCCCTGCAGCGGGCCCTGCGCCGTGACAGAGCCCAGGCTGCGGCATGGGCCGGGCGCCACCCGTGTCTGCTGAAGGAGACGCAGCGCGGGGCTCGGCCCTCACCTCCCGTCTCTCCCACAGGACCTCCCACTCCCGGGCCAAGGCCGAGGCCGCCCTCACCGCCGCCCAGAAGGCCCAGGAGGAAGCCCGGATCGCCAGGATCACTGCCAAAGAGTTCTCCCCTTCCTTCCAGCACAGGGAGAACGGTGGGTCCCCGGCACGCTTGGGGACGCCCCAGGACGCGGCCCGCCCTCCAGGCTGCGCGGCACCCGCCGTTGGAAGGCACGGTCTGGCGACGGCGCACGTGGCCGGACACTGGCCACCTGTGCCCGCCTCTGGGCGGAGATGTGGCCCCAGGCAGGCTGCGTGCACGGCCCCGGCCCGCTACGGCCTCCCACGGGGGGGCGGGCCCTCGCCCGCCAGCTCTGGGGCTGCGGTAGAGCTGTGGCTGGCAGGCAAGGGGCGCGCCCCCAGAGGCCGTCTGGGCCCCCCACCCAGTGCGCAGGGACCCCCCTTCTCTGCTCGAAGGGGCGGCTGCAGCCAGCTGGGAAGCCGCCCGTCCTGTGCCCACAGGGGTGAGGCAGGGGACTAGGCGGACGGGGTGCACTCAGCTGCCCGCCCTTCACCACTTCCTGGTCTCACGCCCTCCCGGGCCACAGACTCCCCTACAGCGGGAAAGCGAGCACCACCCCCCCTCCCCAGGACAGCCGCGTGGCCGGTCACACCCGCCTTGGCCCCAACCCAGGGTCTCCAGAGCAGGGAAGCGCACTGCCGGCCCCTGAGGCCCGGGAAGCCCCTGCAGGTCACCCAGCACGGCTCGCCTTTCAGGCCCGGAAGGGGCCATCGGGGCGGGCCCCTAGCTGTGCTCGCCCGGAGTCCTGCAGGCGGGGACTGGGCTGAGGCGCCATGGGGTGAGGGGCGTGGGGTGCAGGCGGGGGCTTTCCGGCCCCCGCCCCGCCTGGCAGCCCAGTCCCAGCCTGAGCCCCTCGACTTCCTGCCCCCAGGGCTCGAGTACCCGCGGCCGAAGCACCAGCTCTCCAGCGACGACATGGAGGTGCTCTCCACCGGGACGCCCCTGCCGCAGGAGAGCCCGGAGCTGTACCGCAAAGGCACGACGCCCTCCGACCTGACCCCCGACGACAGCCCCCTGCAGAGCCTCCCCGCCAGCCCCTCGGCCAGCCCGCCCCCCGCCCCCGCCCCGAGGAACAAGGTGGCCCACTTCTCCCGGCAGGTGTCCGTGGACGAGGAGCGTGGGGACATCCAGATGCTCCTGGAGGGCGGGGGCGGCGACTATGCCCGCAACAGCTGGGGCGAGGAGAAGGCCGGGGGTGCCAGGGGCGCACGCGGGGGCGCCCTCCGCAGCGGCCACCCCGCGGAGGACTGCCGTGTTCGGGGCTCGGGCCACAAGCCGCCCGGCAATCCCAAGCCCCGGGAGCGGCGGACGGAGTCGCCCCCCACCTTCTCCTGGACTTCGCACCTCCGGGCCGGCCACCCGGGCGCGGCGGGCCCCCGGCTGCTGGAGCTGGACGAGGACAAGCTGAGCAGCTACGAGACGGAGATGAAGCCCCTCCTGCGGGTGGACGCGGCCACGCAGGAGACGCACCCCCAGAAAAGACGCTACAGCAAGGGGGGCACCTGCCGGGCCTTGGGGGAGGACCACCGGTCTGAGGAACGGGTCGCGGGGGCGCAGAGACTGAGGTGCAGGTCGCAGAACAAGGAGAACGTCAGGCCGGCCTCGTCGGCAGAGCCCGCCGTGCAGAGACTGGAGAGCCTGCGGCGGGGGGACCGGGCCGAGCCCCGGCTGCTGCGCTGGGACCTCACCTTCTCTCCGCCCCAGAAGTCGTCGCCCGTGGCCCTGGAGTCAGACGAGGAGGCCGGCGAGGAGCTCAAGGCCAGCACGGTAAGGGGTGCCGACCGCCACCCACCCGACCTGGGTCTTCCCGCCTCCAGGGAGGGCAGGCTGGGGGCCCAGCGGGCCCTTCCCACGAGATGCCTGGGCCCTTGGGGCGCCGCACTGCATCCCTGCTGCCTGGTTCCAGGGTGCTCCTGACCCCACCGCCTCAGAGACCACAGCCTGTCGCCAGCTCGCGGGACGCGGGGTGCAGCGCACGCGTGTGTGGCTCTCGGGCCACCGGGGGACAGGCGGGGAGGGGTGGAGGAGGGCGCTAGGCAGCCGAGAGCTACGCGGACATTCCCGGGGGCTCTGCCACAAGCCCCTCGGCGCGGGTGGGGAAATGTGGGCATGCACCTGGCATCCAGCTGTGCCCGGTGGGCTCCCAGGACCCCAGGCAGGGGGCGATGGCTGCAGCCCAGGAGGGGGCTGAAGGGGACCAGAGGCAGCAGCACGGGGTGCAGCTTGCTGGAAGGAGGGGTGCTGGGGGGAGCGAGAGAGGGCCCTGCCATCACTGGGTGGGGGTCAGGGCGAAACAGGGCCTCTCCGGGCAGGCTGCCCCCGGCCCCAGGGCGTCCGAGCTGACCCGGGCACGGGGCTTCCGGGTGGGGCTGTGGGGGTGTGGGGGTGCGCGCGCGCTCAGGGTCACAACGCACAGCTGTCCCGCACAGCCGCCGCTGGAGCTGTCCCGAGGGGGCTCCCGCCATGAAGAGCCGGCCGGGCCAGGTCTCGGTGGCCTCACGCTCCGCTCTCCCGTTGCAGGGCTCGGCCCCCATCCTGGTAGCCATGGTGATCTTGCTCAACATCGGAGTCGCCATCTTGTTCATTAACTTTTTCATCTGACGAGACTGTGGCGTCGGCAGAGCGTCAGCTGGGGGACAAAAGGGGCGGAGAGGAGCCTCCACGGCAGGCCCCGTCTCGGCCGACGAGCACTTCCGAGCCTTTTCACAGGACCACGTGATTGGGTATTATCACAGTTTGCCTTTTTTTCTGGATAATGTTTTTTGGATTTTAGCCAAAATTCTTTGCTTGTATAACACTATGCTGTGTGGCATGGCAGGAGGCCAGCACGCCGACCCCCCAGCTTGACGTGGAGACAAGGGATGCCGGCCAACCAATGGCAAAACAGCCGCCGTCGCCCCCCGCCCGGGGCGTAGCGCAGGCGCCGGGAGACCCTCCGCGTGGCCGAGGCGCCGGGCGGGGCGAGGCCAGCACGGTGGACCGTGTGCCTCCTGTCCAGGGCGGGCTGAGGGGCGGGCCCGGCGGTCAGTTCGTGCGCGCGTGAAGAAGCAGAAACCCCGTCTCACCCGACCCCCAGCACTGCCTTCCCACACCGGTTTCCAGGCCAAGTCCTGCTCCCCCATCAGACCCCAGGAGATGCGCAGTGGCACCGAGCCAGAGCCAGGCTGGTGCGGGGCACAGTGAGCACGTGGGGGGGCCGGGCCTGGGCTTGGGCCCCCAGACACTGCAGCTGAGGCAGCCCTCACCCCGCGTCCCCGTCTCATCCTGTGCCTGCCTCCTGTGTCCCCTGGACGCCCCCCTCCTGCTCGGGTCTGCTCCAGGACGGGGGGGGGGGGGGGGGGGGGCTCAAGCCTGGGGGTAGGCGCGCCAGAGTCGTGGCGCCCGCTCTGAGGCCCCGCCCCCGCCAAGGGCGCCCCGGCGTGTCTGCCTCCTCCACCAGCCGTTTCCCCTCGTCCAAATAAAAAGGTCCCAGAACTCGCGTGTGCCGTGTGGCCACGGGGCCCCATCCCTGCGTGGACAGCGGGGCTGCCTGGGAGGGCCTTGGAGTGACGCCCGCCCGCCACGGGTGTCGTGGGCTCGGCCTTGCTTCGCTTACGTTCAGCTGTCCTCTGCTGCCTTTCGAGCAGATTTCTTTACTACACTGCACTGGATTGCTATATTTTTAACCAGAAATAAACTAAAGATTAGAGCATGTTCCAGTTAAACTCAGTTTTCTTCTTCCACGCCCCTTCCTCCCCATGGCCGGGGAGCCGCCCGGGAGGGAGCTCCTGACGCCCTGCGACGTCCGTCCTCCCCGCGCGCGTGACGAGGCTCCGCAGGCGGGTGTCCCCGCGTGCTCCATGAGGCTGCCACGCCCTCTGTGGCTTCTGGCCCGAGCACCACGACACAGGCCGGGGCGGAGAGTGCAGGCCGCACGCTCACAGGGGACACCACGCAGGTGGCCACGCCGCCCCACCCTCCTTCCTTTGTCCCCCGCCCAGTGTCCCCCAACATGCCTGCCCCCACCGGAAGTACACCTGTCACCCACACGGCGGAGCCAGGCTGCCCCTGGACAGGGTGGCGGCAGGGGCTGTCCCATGGCCCTCCGGGCCCCCAGCAAGCCGGGGAGGGGCAGACCCGCTGTGAGCTCAGCCGCTCTGAACGACGAAGGCCCCGAGCATAACGTGTGCGTCCGACTTTCACTCAACTCGTCACAACCTGAGAAAGCTCCAGCTCGGCCCCTGGGACCAAAGCTCGCAGCCCGAAGCAGGCGGTGCCATGCGCGCAAAACCCCACCTCTGGGACCCGGGCCAGCCCGAGTGACAGGCGCCTACCTCCTCGCCTGGCAAGCCGTCGTCAGGGGTGGCCGGGCCAGCAGAATCCACCATCGCGCTGAGGTGCCAGCCCGCCACAGCGCAGCAAACCCGGAAGCCAGAGGCAGAGGGAGCCCCTTGCGGCGCGTGGGCCTGCTGCTCCCTGCTCAGGCCCTCGGGCCGGCCTGCCGTGACCCGGCGACGCCACAGCTTGTTCCCTGGCCCTCGTGGCTGCCACTCCACAGGGCCCAGAGCTCGGTGGGACTGGGCGGGGGTGGCGGCGAGAGGCGTCTGCGCGCGCGAGGGCCTCCCGGGCTTGCTCCTTCTCACACCGTGTGGCTGTGAAACCACCCTCCTCCTCCTCCTCGCCCTCCCGTTCCACAGCTCAGCGGCTCCTCCGTAAGGAGACGGTGCTGGTGGCCAACACGCCCTCCCGGCGTTTCCTCACAGAGCAGCGCCAGACACGGCCCACCCGTCCGGGCACAGGGTGGACGCTGCGCGCAGCGTAGGTCCTTCAGCCACACTAGCCGGCCCCGGGGGTCCCGGGCAGCGCCCCAAGAGGACAGCCCCCTCCACGTGCAGCCTCCAGCTCTGCTCAGTGGTGAGAGCCCACCACCGTTGGGTCACCGGCCAGCTGGCCACAGGCCACGTGCGGGGCTCTGGGCAGGCTTGGGAGACGGACCGCTTCCAAGTGAGTGCCCCCCACAGCCTCCCTGGCAAGCCTGCTCTGCCGGGATGGGCGTTTCCACTTTCAGGGCCTCAGGCATGGAGCAGGACGCTGGCCGGTCCTGGAAGCCCACAGAACCTGCATGCTCATCGCTCAGACGCTGCAGGTAAGGACGGAGCGTGCAGGCGTGACCTCCAAGGCCAGCTGGACCCGAGGCCAGGCAGGCAGCCCGGCTTCCCTCCCGGGGACAGGCTCCGCGCAGGGTCACGGCCGGGGGCGGCGACTGCCTGCCCTGCCCTGCCTGGCTTTGCCAGGGCTTCTCCCCCGCCAGAGAGGCTGATGCAGGTGCTACCCCCAGAGCCAGCCACCGCCAAATCCAAGAACTCTATAGACTGAGCCCCAAGCAAGGCCTATGGCAAGAGCGGCACCACCTGCTGCCGCACTTTATTGGGCGGGAGCCGGGGACAGGGTACAGGGTGCCCTAGGCACGCACGCGAAGACCGCCCAGCCCCACGCTGCCCAGCCGTCTTGCACAGGCACATGCCCGCGGGCCGCTGTCATTTGCGGGCAATGTGGGCTCAGCCTGCCGCCAGGCCCCACTACACATGGCCTCCGGGGCGGTCCTCTCGCTGCAGACAGCGCCGCTGTGCTGGGGCCGCGCCTCTCTGTTACCTGCTGGCCCAGCGGGCAGCTCCCGGGGACCCCTGGAAGAAAGCTGTGGCCACGGTGCGGGCAGCTTCGGCACGGCCTCCTCGTGGTCGCCCAGCACGCGGCGCCCAGCCGGTCAGTCCTGGGCGAGAGGCACGGGAAGCGCTGGCCGGGCATCACCAGGGGCACAGGCGCCTGCTCCTTCGAGGGGAGGAGAGAGGGTGCTCAGCGGGAGGCTGCCGGGCGAGGCCCCCCACCACGGGCCAGCGCGAGGTGCCCCTCCCGCAGACTGGACGGAGGCGAGCTCGCCTGGCAGCCCGTGCGGCTCATCCGTTCACACTTGAGCCCCCTGGACTAGGGGGTGAGCCGGCTGCAGGGCTGTGTGGGGCACTCACCCCCGGCCTCCAGGCTGCCGTCCTCGCCGCTGTCCTCGTCCTCCTCAGAGTCGCCGCTGTCCTCTTCTGAGTCGCTCTCTTCCAGCCACTCCTGAGCCTCTGTCAAGCACAGGGACCCGCATCAGTGCAGGCGGGGTGGGTCGGGGAGCGGGTGCCCGGGCTTCGCCACAGCAACGGGGTGACGCGCTGGGGCTGGTGAACACCATGCCCACCTCCAGGGCCGATCCTGCTGGGGCTCGGCCCCCCCCCCCGTGGGGGACCTTCCCCCGGGGCCCGGGCGTCAGCGCAGCAGTGAGGCTTGCCTGGACACCTTGGGCACAAGGTGGGGACACTCCAGGGGACCCGCCCACGCACCAGGGTCCATTTCCACCAGGGCCGTCCACGCCTCCATCTTGTGCAGGTCCAGGCAGTACAGGTCGCTGAGGGTGACCTGGCGGTCCCCAGTCTCAAACATGCCCCCGTAGAGATAGAGCCGGCCCTGCTTCACGGCCAGCATGGCGTTGGAGCGGGGGCAGGGCTCCGTCAGGGGGCTGCCCGCTTCCTCGGGGCTGTCCTCCTCGTCGGACTGTGGTTGTCCAGCGGGGCCTGGGGCTGCAAGCACCTGCCTTATGGTGACCACGGTGCCGTCCTCTGCCACGACCTCCTTCACCACCTCCAGGGGCTCCCGGCTGCAGGCCCCCCTGCCGTCCTGCTCGCCGGCACCTCTGGGCTCTGCTCTCTGGGCCCGCCGGCGCTTCCTCTGCTCTGACTTGGGCCCCTGTGGTGAGGAGCAGAGTGGACAGGGATCAGTGGGGGCACCCTCCATGCCCCACAGCGCGGCAATAAAGGAAGCAAGTTGCAGGCTGTGGTAGGGGCTGGGGCTGAGCCATGGGTGTAGACCGAGGGAGGGGCCTGGGGCTGAGCCACAGGGTACAGACTAGAGCAGGAACCTGGGCCCGAAGCACGGCTGTGGCAGCTCTTGACACCCCACCTGCCCGCCCCGAGTTGCCTACACGCCTGTGCTGGGGCAGTGCCTTGGCGGACAGCAGAGGGTCCTCTCGCTCACACCTGCCCCTGGCACCCATGGGACAAGCTCTAAAGGGGCCAGGCCCTGCCGCCACGATGGTTCCGCCTGGCTTTGGTGTCAGGACCTGGTTTCTGAGGCCACTGACCTGATCAGTTCAGCTGAACCCAAAGTGCCCCAGACCCCACCGCAGGACAGCAGCTCCCCTGCCTCCGGGTGGGCACTGGCCACAGGACAGGTCAGCCTGTCCTACTGGACAGGGAGGAGCCCCAGGGCAGTGGCCCCAGGCAGAGGGGGCCAGGGCCACACAGATACCAGTGACCCAGGGCTGGGAACCACCCACTGGGCAGAAGCCCGCAGGCCCGACCCTGCGCACCCTCAGCTGCCCCTTGAACCAGCGGCTCTTGGTGGCATCGTAGAAGTGCAGGTCATTAAGGAAGTCGCCCTCCAGGCTCTCCTCCTCCTCCTCGTCACGCACGCCGCCGAAGAGCAGTGTTTGATGGTTTGGGGCCACGGCCACCGAGAAGCCAGACCTCGGGGTGGGCTTGGCACCCGAAGGGTTGACCCGTGTCCATGTCCACCTGCCTGCCAGGAAGCGAGGAGGGTGAGCAGAGAGGGCCGAGTCGACAGGGACGGACCCAGGGACACCACCCAGGGACACAACCGTCACCACATCGTGTGCAGGGGGCTGTCACATTCCTTCAAGACCCTTTTTAGAAAGAAAGTTCTGAGCTGCCCCTGCTGAGCCAGAACAGCTGAGCTGACCGCACCCATCAGGCACAGCTGCAGGCTGCCACCCCGTCCCAGCCTCTCCCGCAACATTTTGCAGCCCAGGCTGCCCAGGGCACCTTGTGGGCTCCTGAGTACCCGAGGCCCTTCCCACAGCCTGCCCAGACTCCCAGCAGCTGGGGCAGTGGGCTGCGGTGGGGCTGACTCCGCAGCGCTGGGGCCGCAGGGTCACACACACTCAGTCAGTCTGCGTGGGGCGCCCCACCAGCCAGCCCCGCCTGCGACGCCCACCTTCGGCACCTCCCTCCGGTGTCAGCAGGAACATGTCTGCATGCTGGGTGCCTCTGTCCACGTCCTTCTTGACTCTCTGTGAGGGGAGCAGCCAAGTGAGGGCGAGCAGTGCTGGCCCCGCCAGCCGTCAGGGCCCTTCCTCTCAGACCAGGCTCTGCGCCCGTCGACGGGCCTGGTGCCAGGGCTCGCGGCCGCCTTGCTCACTGGAGGCGGGTGGACTGAGATGCCGCTGCCGCCGCAGGCCACGAGCACATCAGAGAGGCCAGGCCACTGAGGCTCCGGAGGCTGCCACGGCCTGACCTACGGGCTGCAAAGGACCCCACTGGGCGCCTCTGCGACCCCACCGCACACCAGCCTTCCCCGCGCTCCCCATGGGCGGTTCCCACACCTTCCGAAGGACGTGGGCAAGGCCATCGTCCTGACCCGATCCCCCACCGACCGCACCCCTGGTCTCTAGAGCCACCCATCCCCCAAACCCCACCGTCCAGACGCTTCCGTGGCCCTGGCCCGCCACACCCTGCGTCGGGCTGCTCCTAGGGCCCCGGGCTCCCATCCTGTGGGTCCTGGGAGCGCCCCACGAGGCACTGCTGGCGCAGCCCAGCCCTGCTATTTCCCGAGCCCTGGCTCCGGGGACCGAGGCTGCCCCAGGCAAGCGCGGCTCCGGGCCGAGACCGCAGGGCACAGACACGGGGCTCTCCTCTGACCTAACGTGTGCAACCCAGCCGCATGTGCTGTCCACTGTGTGGGAGAAAAGCCATTTTTCTTCCAACGTAACTGGCCATGAGCATACTCATCCTGAGGGGTGTGACACCCCACCCCCGCCCCCAATCAATCCAATCTCCGCCTCTTCCAAGGGCCCAACAGCAGGCTGTCTTGGGGGTATTTTCTGAACGCCCCAGGCCACTCATGCGCCCGACTGAGGTGCCGCCTCCCCCGTCACGCAGCTGTCGTCACTGCGGTCAACTGCACAATGAGAGGAAACAGGAGAGGCCAAGCCGTGTACGGGGGTTCAAGGCTCTGGAAGGGCCTTGCTGTCCCTCAGGGACACGCCTTCAGCAGTCAGTGCAATGCCGTGCCCAGGCGAGGTGCCCACGCTGCATGGCCCCAGGCTGCCCTCTACCACACCCTGAGCACAGCACTAGCGGGCCGAGGGCTCTGAGGACATCCATCCTCACGATGTCAGTCGGAATAACACTAGTCTCCAAAGCCAGCCGGTCTGCGAGGACACTGAGGCGCGGTGCCGGCTGACCCACTGGACGCAGTACCCATGCGGCCTCACCTGCTTCGAGTAGCCCCCGTAGATGAGAATGCTGCCCTGGGGCGTGACAGACATCTGGCAGCCGGATCGGGGAGTGGGCCCAGTCCCCGCGGGGGCCAGCTTGCTCCACCGCAGTGTGTCCAGGCTGAAAGCGTAGACGTCGTTGTAGTAGATGTAATCCCTGGTGCGGCCGGCACGAAAGCAAAATTGAAGTGATGTTACAACGTGAACCTGACTTGAGGAGCAGATTTCTGCCACGCGTACTCTGTGACTCATGTGTGCGAGCCCATAGGCACACGGGGTGCATACCCGCGCACCCAGGGGGCACGGCCCGGGAGGGCGGAGCCTGTGCACGGACACCTCCAAGCAGCCAGCACCACAGCCAAGCACGTCATCGCAAGCCGGCCCGGCCTCCGCAGGCTGCTGTGACCACGTGACAGGGCACAACTCGCGCGTGCAAAGCCCAGTCTGCCCCAGGCTCTCCTGCCCCTGCCCCAGGGACACCGGCGGGGCTTGCCGGCGGCGGCCCAGCTTCCGCCAGGCAGGAGCAGCGTCTCGGCGGAGGCAAGGCCGCGCGCAGCCCACCTGCTGAGTCTACATCCACATGGAAAGCCCGCACTCCCCGGAGCCGGCCTCACCCTGCAACATGCAGGGCAACGCAGGCCCCGCGGCTCCCCAACACCATGGCGCGGGTCTGCGGGCCTGACTGTGAGCATGACTGTGACACCAAGACCCCGGCGGGCGGCAGAGGGAGGACTGCAGGGGAAACGTGAGGCGAGGCATGAGCGCAGCCGGTGCGCCTGCCAGGACAGAGGAAGTTCTGCAGAACTAGGGTGCTACTTCTATAGCCCCCCAGCCTTTAATTAGTGTTTACCCAATTAATAAAACGCTCTCTGTTCATGGGGAGACACTATCGCTTTAACTGGACCAATGCACACACCAGTGGTCAGCCCGACCCGGGGGGATGTGCCCCCACACTGCCGAGGAGGACGGATTCCCCGAGCTGACAGCCGCTGGAAGAAGTGTGCGGCCGCGAGCCTGTGATCAGTGCGTGCTCAGTGGCGGTAGCAGGACACATCAAAGGGTGATGATGCCCCATTTAAAAGGAGGAGATGGGCCTCCCTGGTGGTGCAGGGGTTAGGTCTCGAACTATGAAGCTATCGGCAGCCTCTGCAGCACGAGTTCCATGCCCGGCCAGGGAGCTACCCACAGGGCGCAGCAGACCTCTCCTGTCTCCCTGCTGCTCCCCTCAGCAGTGGATTTCAGTAGATCCGCCTGTTCTGCTCCCCACAATGTCTCTGGTGCATCCTCTCAGCGCCACCCCCCACCTCTGACCTGCACCCCAGCTCTTGTATGCATAAATATTTTTAAAAAAAGTAAAAAGGAGCAGGAGACAGGGCAGGATGCACCCGCTTCCCTCAGCGGGCGGCTGTGACATGTGCGCCCCACGTCCCTCTTGGCAGCACGCTTCACCTAAAAGCACGGAGACGCGACAGCCACTCTGAATTGTGCGGCTTGAGCCTCTCCCCAGGGCTGCCCTGGGGTGCTCAGAGGGTGTCTGCGCCAATAGCTTCCACAGCCAGAGACCCCATCCGGCACTGGGCTGCGGTCCCCGTCCTGCCAGCAGCGCTGCATTGCTGTGGGCTCCTGCGCAGATTCCCAGCCCCCACCCCAGCTTACTAAGTCAAAATTGGGGGTGGGGGCAGCAGCACCCAGTGTTCTTTCTTTTTCTTTAAAGATTTATTTTTATTTATACAAGTACTGGGATACAGTCGGAGGCGCCGGAGGGTGAGAGGATTCACCAGAGACAGAGTGGGGAACAGAACAGTCAGATGGACCAAAGACACTGAGGGGAGAAGCAGGCGAGACAGGAGAGGTCTGCCCCGCCGTGTGGGAATCCCCCCGGCCGGCAGGGAATCGAACCTACGCTGCAGAGGCTGCGGACAGCTTCACAGCGCTGCACTCAGCCCGCTGCGCCACCAGGGAGGCCCGCACCCCGTGTTCTAATGAGAACGCCATGGGATTCTGCCACGAATGCGGCTCGAGAGCCCTGCCCAGACAAAAGGGTCCGCCACTTGGGGGGGCCGGAGGGCCCCCTGCGCAACGACGTGAGCCTTGAGAGCGAGACAGCACTGCCCCGCCTTGCCCTCAGCCCTGGCGTCGGCGGGCGGCCTGGCCACCTGTGATCAGAGGGCGCTCTGAGGCCACCTTCCTGCCCAGCCACCTACCGTGCACTTTCATGGAAGCCACCGAAGACGACGAGCTGTCTCTTCCAGGCCACCATGCGGTGTCCGCTCCGGCCTGAAGGGCCTCCCGTGGACCTGCAGAGGGGAGAGCGTGTTCGGCACCACCCGCCTCACAGGCGCTTCCCGGCGGCTCCAACTGACCGCGGCCACCGCCGCGCAGACAGCCCTGCCGCTGCCACGCAGGAGCAGAGGGCACGTCCCGGCCACCCAGCCGCTGCAGCGGAAGCGGCACCTCGGGGTAAGCGCGCGCACTTGAGCAGACGCCTGGGCTCGGAATCATTCTTACTAACGCGGACACACAGCCTGGTGAAGAGACAGGAGAGGGGCCTGAACGGAAAATTCATAAAGGGCGGGGGTGGGGGTGGGAGACATGCACGAGGCCGAGGAAAACAACACAGAAGCTCAGCCTGCCGGAGGTCAGCTGTCTCGGGAAGATGCGGAGCCCACGGGAGCCCACGGGAGCCAGAGGCCGGCAACGGCGCCCGGCGAGCCCCGGGCACGACAGACACGGCCACAGCAGCGTCTCACCGCGCGCCCACGGCCGGGCCACTTCACTCCAGAGCCCGATCAGAGAAACAAAACCACGAGGACACCTGGAGCCCAGCACAGGCCGAGGCTCCCGTGACTGTCAAGCTGGAGGTGGCGGCCAGCACCATGACCGCTGCAGGGCTGCAACGACCCTCCGCGGGCACCGCTGGCGCTGCCGGGGTCAGCTCTGGTGACGGGCGCCGTCCACAGAGGTGTCGGGGTGGCAGGCACTCATCTGAGCAAGCACCGACAGGCACCGGCGCACCTGCAAGATGGGACTGTCGCGCGCCAAGGCCCACAGGGGCCGCCGCGAGGAGAGAGCAGGCAAGGACTCGGGGCCTGGGGTGGGCTCAGGGACCACGCGCCATCGCCTGAGCTGCCACGGGCCCACGGTGGAGGCTCCGTGTGGACGGCCTGCCCGTCCAGGCTCCGGGCCCCCATCTTCTGCAAGGTGCTCCTCGGGAGGGCGCCCTGTGCCCAGAGCAAAGAGGAAAAACGCCCTGGCGCTTCTGGCAGGGGAGGGGAAGGACCCCCACGAGGAAGCCAGGGCACCCCGTTCCCAGCAAGACCTGCCCTCGCCTACAAGGGAGCCTGGCCACTTCCCTCCAGGCCCCCACTCCAGGCCCCCTTATAGGACACTGGGCGCAGCTGGCGAGGACGGGCGCGGGCACAGCGTGGCGAGCGCAGCAGCGCCAGGGCCTGCGGGCGGGACTCAGGATTCCAGACCGGAACCCAGCCCAACTCTGCCTGCAACGCCGGGCTGTGGGCGAGGCGTGGGCAAGCCAGGGCGGGCAGGCGCAAGGGTAACAAAGCACAAAAGCACGAAGTGAAAATGCCGGAGGCACAGCGCTGCACCAGGAACGAAAACTGGCAGCCCGAGGGCTGGGGAGCAGAGCCCCCCGCCGGCGGCCCGGTGGCGCCCCGAGGGACAGAGGACATCGCTGCAGAGCCCCTGAAAGCACAAAGGCAGGGCTGATGGAGACAGAAGGCGACGGGTTGCGAGAACCCAGGGCAAGCACAGGCATTTAACACGCGTGCACCGGACACCTCATGGGAAGGAGGACGCAGCAACGGAAACACCAGTGAGGGCGGATTTGTCCAGACTGATCCCAGACACCAGCCCCCCAGGAGCATGCGCTGGAACGCCAAAGAGAATAAACACCCAAAACTACACCAACAGGCCTCCCTGGCAGCGCAAGGGGTTGAGCACAGAGCTGTGAGGCTGTCCGCAGCCTCTGCAGCACGAGTTCCATCCCCGGCCAGGGCGCTGCCCACAGGGCGCAGCAGACTCTCCTGTCCCCCCGCTGCTCCCCTCAGCAGTGGGTTTCAGTAGATCTGCCTGTTCTGCTCCCCACTCTGTCTCTGGTGAGTCCTCTTACCTCCTGCACCTCTGGCCTACACCCCAGCTCCTGTATGCATAAATAAATAAATCTTTTTAAAAAAAAAAGAAAAACAAAACAAAAGCCAACTCAGCGCTGCCCACAAGAAACGCGCGGATATAAAGGCACGTGGAGATCAAGAGGAGACGGGGCGCCGCTGGCGGGTCGAGAGCAGCGTGAGAACGGCGGGCAGGGCGGGCGGCAAGCAAGGGGTGTCCTGGGGACAGGCGAGGGAGCTCCTGGGCCAAGAGAAATCCCCAGGATGGCAACAGTTCGACCTGCCGCATGCACACCTAACAACGAGCGTGCAACTGAGCACGGGAGGAGCAGCTGCACCCACACTCGGAGCTGCACCCCCTGCCCGCTCTCCGGAGGGGCAGAGCCAACAGGCAGACCACTGAGGGCGCACTGAGCTCAACGCCATCCAGGCACGGGCACGGAGGGTGTTTACGGACAGCGGCACCCGCAGCAGCTGGAGACACGCTTCCCTCAGGCTCACGGCCAGCATCCACCGGGACAGACCACCTTGAGGCCACAAATGCGCTGCCATGAAATAAAAAACACAGGAATCCCAGTGGCCGCCCTCAGACTACAAGGGAATTAAACAAGAAACCAGTGACAAAGTCACCGATGCCAGGGCCAGGGCCCGTCGCTGCCAGTGCCACCAAGAGTCAAGGCCCAGGGAGCCCTATCCAAGGGGCACCAGCAGTGCCCAGGCCCACGCGCCACTACACTGGCGCAGAAGCCCAGAAACCCACACTCAAGTCCACTTGCGCCCGCAATGTGACGCGCACGGGGCGGGCTCAGGCAGCCGGGGCTGCAGGCTCCTCCCGGCCCAGCACACGCCACGCTCACACTGTCGGGCCCCCAGCAGCACGACTGTCCTCCCTGCAGATCCTGCGCCACTGAGCGGGACGGCTGCCCGGTCCCTCTGGGGCGTCACGGCTACGGCCTAATGGGAGCGGCCTGCTCTGGACCCAGCAGGACGCCCCAGCACTGCGCCTGCGGAGGCACAGGCCCTCGGGAGGCTGCCAGCAGGGAAGGCCGCTGTCCTTGGAGCAGGACGGGCTTGAGGCAGAGGCGCAGCAGGCAGGGCCCTCACTGCCCGGGACAGCTCGGTGTAGCACAGCCACGGGGGTCTCTGCAGAGTACGGTCATTCACAGGGATGGCGCCCAGAGGGACACAGCCACTGCCCACGTGCTGCGGAGGTGGAGGCCCTCCCAACAGGCCCGCACCCCCATGACAACCACACGGACACCGAGTCCAGGCAGTGGGGGCCGGGACAGGAGCGTGAATCTGGCCAGAGCCACCCAGCAGGTCATTGCCATGCCGGGCGGCAGGCCCCGCTGTTCCAAGAAGGCCCAGGAGGAGCGTGAGCACACCCTGCGCCCGTCAGCTACAGCCCCTCTCCTGCACCGGCACCTCGAGACCCAGGCCCGGCGCAGAGCACCAGGCGGGACGGTCACGCCCGGACCTTACCTGACCTGCTCCCAGGTCTTGGTGGCCAAGTGCAGCACCCACAGGTCCTTGTAGTGGTAGAACTGCTCTCCATCCGGGGACGCGAACTCCCCTCCGAAGATCCACAGCTGCCCACCGCCCTGCGGCACCACCACGGCCTGCGCGAACAGAAGGGACGGGTCAGGGCGTGGCTCCGGGGACGGCCGGGGCAGTGCGGGGCAGTCTCAGCCGCACCCCTCTACAGTCCCCGTCTGCCTTGAGGGGATCCCGTAAACCCCTCAAGAGGGCAAATCGCCCTCAGTGGGAATCTCCATGGACGCTCACACCTCCCCGGGGCACGAGGCAAAGCGGCCGCTTCTACTGGACGGGCTACCAGCAGTCACGGCGGGGCCGCACCACAGTCTCCTGCTGAGCTCACGGAGCTGCTCCTCCTGACCGTGTCCCGGCTGCTGAGCACTGCACACCTCGAACTACACGCGTGTGCCATGCACAGAACTCCACTCACGTTACTACCGAGATTTACCACGACCGGAAGGCAAGCCATGGGTGAAAGCTCAGCCTCACACAGCAAGCGGCGGGGACACCGCCATCCCCACCGGTGCCCGCCCGCCGTGCCAGCCTCCCGCCCGCCAGCACCCGCCGCGCAGGCCGGGCCGCACTGCCCTCGTCAGCGGCCACACCCCGAACTTCCCCAGGAGCCCCTCAGCCCCGTCCCACAGGTCTACCGCCCCGGGAGCCCGTACCCCTGCGGGCACAGCTCAGGGTCTGGGCCGGCACAACAGCCCAGCATCTCTCTCGGCCCAGAGTGCCCACCCGGCAGGGATGGGTGCGGAGGCTGCCCACGGGCCCCAGGACTCACACCCCACAAGATGCATTAACCTCACTTCCTAGGGCGGCCCGGGCGGCCCACAGCCTCACGGGACTGGCGGGACAGCAGCTCGCCCTGGCAAGTGTCAGGGGCCCGAGGATGAACTCCCAGCCCGGCCCGAGCCGGTGGGGTCCCTTGTGGCCTCGGGGTCAGAGGCTGTCCAGCACCACAAGGAGTACGTGTCCATGGGCGGGGACAGCAACCAGACCCAGGGCGGGGCCGCGGGCTGGAGAGCCCACTAGGGCAGAAGAGCAAGTCCTGGACACCATTCTCTAAAGGCCTGCCGAGAAGAAACACGGCGTGAGGGGGTGGATGTCTGGCCGCCAAGACCAGAGTGAGTCCTGGGGCGCAAAAGTGTCCAAGACGGGCGCACACACGGGCACAGCCTCAAAGGGCGTCACAGCAACCCCAGCCCCGCCAGGCCCGCGCGTCCACGGAAACAGAGGTGTCCCCTCTGCACGCGCAGCAGGGAGAAGGCATGCCATGCCAGCTGGAGCCCGGGAGCCTGGCGGCTGTGCCCACTGTGGACCCGGGCAGCACGGCGAGGACGCAGGCGCGGCAGTGACATGTGCGGGACAGGGCCGTGGGACCGGAGCCAACACGGGGGCGCTCCTGCCGCACACAAGGCGCGTGCCAAAAACCTGTCAGCCTAGCGCAGGGCGCTCCGCAGCCCAGTCAGGACCGAGTGGCCAGTAACCACCAGCACCTATGAATGCCCGCGCTCCTGGCCACGCCCACGGCCAGCCCAGGCCCAGTCCAGCGGAGCGCGCGGATGCGGCCAGAGGCCACACGCCCTGCCGAGTGATTCTACCGCACCCACGAGTCTGTCAGAGGAAACCTTCAGACATAAGATCTAAGTTTCCACCTTAAAAAGCCAGGAAAGGCCAACGAAGCCAGGTGAAGGAAAGAGGTGGAGCGGGACGCCTGGGACAGGACGTCACAGTGAACCACCACCCCAGGGTGGCGCCAGGGGCGCGCGCTCCTGCACACAGGATGCAGAGCCAATGCCCGCTGCGCCTTCTCCACCTCGAGTCAACGCAACTTCAGCGTTACGGGGGGAAGGACCCGCGAATTCCTCCTCTAACGAGGTTACACCAGACGCGTTTTCCAGACTCAGACGGGGAAGGTGCCCTTCTCACCCGTGATGTCCCTGCTGGCCAGGGCAGCCAGGGGACTCACGGACAAGGAAGGGGGCACCACGGGGCTGAGCAGAGCGCGTCGCCAACCCTCGCCTGCGCCCCAGCTCGCAGCCACAGGCACCAAGCGTGAGCCCAGAGAGAAGCCCGCAGGGAGCCAGTCGGCGGGAGGGACGCCTGTCCCCCTGGGGGCGGTGGGGGGAGCTGACTCGGGGTCTCCGGTGTCACCCTGCTCACCGCTCCACGGCCAGTGGAAGCTTCCACGCAGCCACGCGGCAGACAGCTGGCCCTTGACTTCTCGTGGGAGTCGTTCATTTTAGAGTCACACTAGTTTCTCAAGGTCACGCTAAAATAACCCCAAACCAGGGGCAGGGAGCGGAGGCTATGCGCGTCTCTGTCCCTTCTGCCCAACCCATCGGGGCAGGTGAACACAGCCCCAGCGCCGCCGCCATCCAGCCACGAGAATCTTCTCAGGTCTCAGAACTTAACGGAATAGAGACACAAACCACAATGTCCCTCGGGCCAAAGGGGAGTCTGACAGCCAGAGCCTCCCAATGCTCTGTGAAGCTCGGGGCGACGGCAAGCACAGAAGCCCGGAGGCAGCCCTCCACGCAGCAGAAGGACAGGCGCCAGGCCACACCAGGCTGCGCAGGACACTGCTCCCATTGGGAGGCTTGGGGCTGACACCACCCCTGAGATCCAGGGCGTGCTCTGAAGAACAACACTGAGGAGGAGCGAGTGTGGGGCATGGTCCCAGAGCTAGCGAGGGGATCCAACACCCAGGCTGCCACGGCCACACTGCCCGCCGATGAGGCGGCCGCCGCCCGGGGCCAGAGCGCGCCCCCCACACAGCCCCGGCAGACCGGTTAGGCACAAAGGCGGGCCCTCACGAAGCCCCACAATCCAAGGGCAGGACAGCCTGGCTTGGAGGGGCTGAAGGAGCACCCAGGGGCCGGGGGACCAGCCCGCCATCCACCAGCTGAGAGCCAGCTCTCTGTGTCCCTCTCAGGACTTGCTTTTGTTCCTTAACACTGTCCTGCTCCTCTCAGCAAGAGCCATGTGGACACCCCCTGCTCAGCCGCCCTGGCCTGGCAGGCCCCCACGAGCAGGCACTGCTCTCCCATCCCGAGTGATGACAGGCGGTGCAAGCCTCTCCCAGGCGGAGCCCAGCCCTCTCACACACAGCGGCGCGTACCTGGTGAGCACAGCGCCTCGGGGGCGGGCTCGGGATTTCCACCTTGGTCCAGGCATCCTTCCTGATGTTGTAGATGTACAGCTCGTTATACATAAGAGTCTGCAGGAGTGAAGGAGTTTGGCATCAGACATGTGCATCCCACAGGAACAGCGTGAGATGTGGGGGACGGGGGACCACTCTTGGGAACTGGGATTCCCAGAATCACGTCAACCCCATCGACACCAGGCATGCGGCCCTGGACCCTTGGGCAGAGGCAAGAAGATGACATGGGCGTCCGCGTGCGGGGAAGGTGAGTCACACCTCACTCACGACCATGCGCACAAGCTGAGGCTGCTCTGCAGAGGTCAGCTCAGCCAGCTCTCATTCCCCTCCCCGCTCAGAACTCTGAAGAACACGGCACTTCCAACCTCGACAGGCTGAGGGGACAGTGGCCTGCAGGATGGGTGCCGGCACCATCTCTTAGCTCCCTAAGAGCCATGCACAGCGGGAGCCAGAGGCCCAGTGCCTGTTTGAGATCACGGCTTTAAGTTAATTTTAGCCCAAATGAGACCCGGGGAGATTTGGGGAAAAAAGAAGAAAATGTATACTTTACTTTTTGGCCATTGAAATATTCACCTCCAAAAAGGATTAATTCATCTTTGTCGGGATGAGCAGAGAGGGAGGCATTTAACCTGCAAGACAAGAGCGGCAGTTGAGCACAGACCACACTGCAGGGCTGCAGAGCCACAGGCACCCGAGCAACAGTGTGCAGGTGCTGTCCTCCTCCTGCCGTGAAATAACACCTGTGCCAACACCGGGGCAGTCCCAGCTATGAAACCCAACAAATGGTTCTTGAGTTCTTCACACCACTGACATGCTCGCTTACATGGCCTACACAACTCATGCCTGATTTTCACTTTCACCACAAAAATTCTGAAGTGTCATGAACACGCACAGCAAAGAGCCCTTGTGGCTTTGCACTTCCCACCAGTGACAGGCCGTGGCCAGGATGGGCACAGAGGAGCAGCAGGGGGCCAGCCACCATCCTGTGCCTCTGCTACAGGAACATTGACGAGCACCACGACCTCTCGGAGACAGCGAAAGCTGTGGGCACTGATGTACAATGGGCTTCAGGATGAAAACAGCGCCAGTGGTGGAAGCATGGCGCCCTGACTTACACCGTTTGCTGATTTAAGTGGCTGAGCCTTGAGCAAACAGGAGCTAAGAGCACCCATCCCCTCACAGTTGAAAATCTGAATATAATTTTTGACTCACCAAACACATTACTAGCCTGCTGTTGACTGGAAGCCTCTCCAGAAACACAGAGTCAACAAACCCGTGCTTCCTACTGACGTGAACTGTGTGCTATGGCCCAACGGTAGCAAAACTCATAAGCAGCAGAAGTTATGAGGAGAGGACCAGACTATGATGACCAACACCGGAAGATTATGGCATCTATTTACAAGAAAGCAAAGCCAGTGCATACACGGACCCTCACTGTCCACATCCATGTTGTCTAAGGCCAACTGGGCAGGAAACTACAATGCACCATCCTCTGCACACTCACCTGGGAGAGGGTGGGGAGCAGGGCGTTTCCACCACCTTTGTCTTCCCGGCATCCAGGGTCTGGAAGTGGGCGATGAGTGCCTCCAGGTCTTCCTAGGCAGACAGACAAAACATGGGCGTGAAACGGGAGTTCTTAAGCAGTGTCAGCTGTCCCACTCTGCCCAAGCTGGGGTCCTGTCACATTCATAACCACAAGAAGTTCCTCCTGCTTTGAAGACACAGAATGTGACACGTGGGTATGTTGCCTGGGTATCTCCTTCCCACTCTCATGGTCCCTAGATAGGGATCATCCACTTAGGCAAACCACCTAACTTCTCTGCTGCCACCAGTCTCAAGCCAGGCCCCCCTGCTTGAAACCAGCCCTATGAGATGGGAGTCTACACGTGTCTTGTTAGGGGCAAGTGTGGCTGCTCTGCTCTCTGGGGCCTCGGGGGACGCGCATCAGCTGTGTCCCGACTGTTGGTTTGGTACAGACTCAGCACGGAGATGTGCAGAGGAGCACAGGTAACAGCAAACAGTACCCTGTGCTCACCTAGCACCAAGCACTGCTCTAAAGACTCCAGGGATTAAGGGGCACCTGTGCAGTTACTGCCCCAGTGACAAACGGAAAACCGAGGCACAGCGGTGGGAGGAAAAACTCAAGTCTTCCTCACCGTGAGACGGAGCCGCCAACGTGCACTGACCGCTGGTTATTAGAATGGAAGCTCAGAAAGCACAGGGCTCGACGTGCCGCGAACACCCCTGAGCCACCACCGCCGCCCAGGAAGGGAGCCCGCCGCGCCGGTCACCAGAAGGCGGGCGCTCCGGGCGGCGGGGCGCCTGCTCTGGGGGAGGGCAGGGAGGGGCGGCGGCCGCACGCCCCGCGGGTCCACGGAGGGACGCTGACGCTCCCTGCCCGGGGCTGCTCCGGGGATTATGGCCCCTCTTCCTGGAGACGTGGGGTGAGCTCAGAAGCGACATGGCCCCTCGCCCCCGCCCACACCGCACCCCGGGGCGCGCCAGGGAGCCCGGGCCTCCCGCCGCCCAGCAGCGCAGCCCCGACGCGGGCGCCGGGAGAGGGGAGCGGGCGGGGGAGGCCGCGGGGAGCGGGGACGCGCGCCGCTCGCTCACCTCCTCCTTCCGCGAGCGCTTGGACGCCTTCTTCTCCATCTTGGCGGCCGTCTTCTCGGCCCCGCGGCCCTTCTTCTCCTTCCGGCCCTTCTTGCCCATCTCGGCGGCGCTCAGCGGGCCGGCCGCCGCGGCGTGGGGCGCCCGGGGAGGCGAGCTCGGCGCGCCGGAAGTGCGCTCGGGCGGCGCCGTCGCGCGGAGCGCGTCACTTCCGGCCCGGCCTGCCCTGCTTCCGGCGCGCCGCTCCCCGGCACCCCGCGCTCCCCGCCGCGCCCGGGAGCCGGCCCGGCCTCGCGTCGGCCGGCGGTGCCCGGCCCTCGGCAGAGCGCCGCGCCGCGGGGTGACCGGCGGGCCCTGGGCGCCGGCCCCGCGTCTCCGGGGGCGCTTTTGCAGATCAGATGATTGCTGCGGCCTCAGTCCCCACAAGCATGCCCGCCCTCCCGGGGGGCCCCCCCCGAGCGGACAGCCCTTCTCCCTCAGAAATTGCTCCCGAGCCCGTGTCAGTGCCGGACGTGCTGGAGCCACGGAGACGCCCGGGCCCGCCCCGCCCCGTCTCCCGACTCGGGGCCGCGAGTGTCTGCTGGCGGGGGCGCCTGGTCCCTCCTGGGCCGGGCTCGTGGCGCCCCCCGCCGGGTGCGGCCCCTTCCCGAGCCCGGAGGCGGCCCCCGCCTGCTCTCGGGCTGTCCTCAGAGCCGAAGCAAATAAGGTCGTAAGCGGGGAAGGCCTCGGCGGGAGGTGAGGTGCTGGCCCTCGGACAGGGAAGCGCGGGAGCGCTTATGTGGGGTCAGCTATCAGGGTTTTCCGCCTCCCGCCTGAGCATCTATGAGCGACACCTCTGGCCTTACACGCAGGCCTGACAGCGGCGCCTGGAGTGCGGGTGGGCGCGCGCGAGCGGGCACCTGAGCCTGGAGGCGGAGCACAGAAGGGCTGCCACGGAGGAAGGTGGGGCGGGGCGGAGGGCCGGGGAGGGCGTGTGCTGTGTAGAGCATCCAGAGAGCGCCCCTCTTACCCTCCCCCCACCCCGCCTGTTTTGCCTCACTACAGATGTTGTAGAAAGATCATTAAAAGCCTGAAAACGCCACTGAGGGCCCCAGGACTCCCCTTTGCCGGAATCCCAGGTCCACAGAGAAACTGCCCTGTGCCTTGCTGCCATCGCAGCTCATCACCACTTAGAAGGGGCCTCCTGCGGGCTTGTCATCCAGGAAACAGAACAAATTACGGACAAGCAAATATCGGCCACGAGGAAGCATAAATGGGGAGTAGCATTAATTCTGTACTGTATGGTGAAGTGCCTGGGTCTCAGCCTCAAAAATTCCAGCTGGGCCGGTTCCCAGCCACTGGGCAGCCAGAAAGGAATGCTTGCCCAGCCAGCTCTAAGCCTGTCCATCAGCACAGAGAAGGAAATTTGGGGGAACGATGGGGAGAAAAGGCAGAATAGGGTTCAGGCTGCCCCTGGCTCTGTACACTCGCGGGAAGACCCTCGGATGACTGGGGAGAAGGACCTGTTAACTGCTGGTCAGAGGGTGGAGACCCTCACAGTTACCTGGCCCAGCCTCCTTCCTACTGGTGGGCTACCAGTTTAAGAACGCGATCCTGTCAACTTTAGTTTCCGAGAATAACCATGAGGCCAGCACCTGGAGCAAAATGAACACAGACACAGCGCATCTGCCTGGCACACCTGACAGCCATCCCCTCGTAGGGCTGCGAAGGGCTAGAGTGTCCCCGACGGGACCGAGAGGATGAGGAGATGCAGGGCGTCATACTTGCTTCTGGGGAAGAATGTTGAAGCTAAATTGGAAAGCTCCCGGGTTATAAGTGTCATCGTGATTTACGAGCTGTTGAGAGTCTCATTACCAAGAAAGAGAATAGAATATTTAAAATGAGATCAGAATCCTAAAATAGTAAAAAGATTAAGTACAGCGTCCTATTTTAGTGGAATTCACATTTTTGAAACTTTAATGCATCATCTTCAATCTAATACTGCTTATTAATTTTTATCAAGTACCTTTTGTGTGGCCAGGCGCCCTCTGCTGTCTTCAAGGTGAAATCAATAAAATATATTGTGTTGAGCTATGAAAGAAACTGATGAGCTTCTAGTTATCCTCACCACAATAATCAGTGTCCACATACATGAGGTGGTTCTTCGTACATTTCCCATCTAGAAACTACTAACCAGCCTCCCTACTACATAGAATTTTGGGGAGAATCAACTGAGATCATAAAATAGCTTGGAAAAGTCAAGCGCAAGATACCAACTTAAGAAGAGAGCCTCCGTGCTGTGCAGCCAAGGCTGGAACTGGCTGACAATCTTTTCATAACCAGATACAGCAAGTGTGAGCCTTGAACCAGGCCTTGCTAGAAGCCCAAGCCGGACCTGCAGGAGGCTGTGCCCTTAAGACAGATGATGCAGCGGGAGGAAGCAGGGAGATGGGCAGTGGGGGGGGGGGTAGAGTGAGGAAGGAAGGGGGTCGGCAGGAGGCAAATCAACCAATGAGATCCAGCCTGTTGGTGTATTCTGTCCAGGTTTGCAGGTGCCTGCGGGGTGGGGGTTTTAATACCCTCTCATCACCCCATTGTGGTAGAAAACAAGATTCTCCCCTCTTGGAGGTTAAAGTATGCAGCAGAACAATACAAGGACGCTACTAAATATCCAAATAACTGGGGATCTTTTGTTATTTATTTCTAATGTAATTCATTGAGTTGAAATATCTAAGAACTGAATGCTTTCAATTTCCCTTCAAATACAGCTTCTCTGCATCCCACAGTGCTACTATGTTGCATTCAGCTCAAGATACTTGCTAATTTCCCTCTTGATTCCTTCTTAGACCCCTGGGTTACTTAAAGTGTATAACTTCGTTTCCACACTGTGGGGATTTTTCCAGAGATCTTTCTGGAAGTAATTTTTTTCTCTAACTGCTTTTATGATTTTATCATCTTCATTACCCTTTAGTTTCACTAAGATAAGTTTAAATATTAATTTTTTTAATAATTTTTTTAATAAATTTTAAATATTAATTTCTTTACCTTGCATCCAGGGACGTCTTCTCCGGGGCCCGCTGCCCCCTCCCCTCTGCTCCCCTGGAATGCCACTGAGGCCCTAGATGCTCTCCTCCGCACCCCCAGGCGCTCAGCCTTTCCCTCATTTTCCATCTGTTTCTCTCTGTGCTGCCTGTGGCTTGTTCTTTCTGATTTATCTATTAGGTTTTTTTTTTTTTAAAGATTTATTTATTTATACAAGAACCAGGGTACAGGCCAGAGGTGCGGGAGGGTGAGAGGATTCACCAGAGACAGAGCAGGGAGCAAAACAGGCAGAAAGACCAAAATACACTGCTGAGGGGAGCAGTGGGGAGACAGGAGAGGTCTGCTGTGCCCTGTGGGTTTCTCCCAGGCCGGCCAGGAATCGAATCTGCACTGCAGAGGATGCAGATAGCTTCACAGCGCTGGGCTCAACCTTCTGTGCCACCAGGGAGGCCCCTCCAGTTTATCTACTAGTGTCTGCATTCTTCATGAACCCCATTAACTGCTTACCCTGTCTGTATCATTTTCAATCCCAGTATATTTTCAAATGTTCTAGTTCTTTCTGAACTCTGCCAGTCTTGTGATAGCTTCCTGTTTCCTGCAGTTATTTTCAAGCTGGTCTTTCAGTTCCTGCAAGTGGTCGTGCTGCCACACTGCCGTCTGTAGGCATGAGGTGTCTGAGCTGCCCACAGGACTTGGGCGAAGCGTCTGTCCCAGCCAGGAGCTGTGCTGGCTTCTGCCCCACAGCCATGGACGCTGCCAAGTCTTTCCCTCCTGAGTCCAGGGTCCTGGCTTAAGTTTTTTTCAGACAAACCAAGAATGGAAATCTCAGCTGAAAATCCAAGGAAGAGCTGGGATGTGGGTGCAGTATATCCAGGGTGTCAGCCTCCCAACACGAGGTGACGTCCTTGTGGATCCAGAGGCCCCTCGGGCAACCCCGCTGCCCTCATCCTCAGGCACGGCTCTTGGGACGTCAGCCCGGTCTGGGGTCTCCTCTCCAGCCCACCCGGAGCAGCCGGGATTGATGATTTTTTCCCTTGCCCTTTGAGGCTACCAGACCCCAGAAAGCAACGGCTACCACCTAGGAGTGAGAGACCTTTTCTCGTTTCTGCTTTCCAGCTGATTCTGGCTCCCCACCGGCTCCCTGGGCCTTGGAGGGGGCTCGTTCCCACGTGTGTCCGTGCATTGGGTGAAGGGTTAGCGCAAGGCCACATCCCCCCACCTTACACCATCGCTTCACTTTGCTAACCGTGTGTCACAGCGCTAAGAATGAGCACCTTCATTCACAGGTGCTAAGTTGTAGGGTTTGGAAAATACAGACACAGTAAGAAGGGAACCTCAAAGCCACCTACACCCCCTGCCCACACAGCCACTCTCCACGTGGGGGTTTTCTGCTGGCTGACCTTCAGCAGGGCCCCCTCTGCCTTGCCCTCTCCCTGTCTTCTTTACTACCAGACCTCAGAGGCAGCCCCCGGCCATCAAGGATGTTTTTTATGAGTCGTCAATTGCAAAGGCAGAGGAGTGGAGACAGCAAGCCTGGAAAACAGCACAGAAAGGGGAACCAAGTCTGAGTGGCTGCCCGTACCCCACTGACGAGTGGTGAGCAGGTGGTTGGCATCTGGTGCCCCTGCCAGCTCCCCTGCCAGGCTGCAGGTCCCTGCCCGACCCTAAACCCACCCACATGCAGCTACCCCCACATCCTGCAGGTGCCCCAGGCGCTGGGCAGAGCACACGGGCACAAGACAGCAGGCCCTGTCCTGACGCACAGTGCGTTCTTGAAAGGTAAACCAGGTGGGCGAAAATGTCAGCGCGCCTAACTTAAACAGATCTGTGAAAGCTCTGTGACGTCGTGTTTGGGCACCTGGCTCTTTCATCCCGCCTGACCCGGGAGTCAGCTCAGTTTTCAAGCTCCGTGTTCCCCTGGTCTGCCACTCACGCTTTAGGCAGCTGAAATCCCAGCTGCCTGCCTGTGAAAGGGGAGCCGCCCAGTTCTCAGGAAGCGCTTTGTTCCCCCATGTGGCTAGGGGCTCGGCCATCTGGGAGGCAAACTTACCTTTCTGAGAAGAGCAACTCTAGAAACTAACTTCTGGGCATGGAGCTAACCACATGCTAATGTTCTTGGCCACACTAGTG